AGGCCCGTGGGGCAGCTCCTAGTCCAAAGTGCCTTGCACTCAGGGAGCAGCGTGCATCCAGAGCGATCCCCGAGAGCTCCCGCTGCATGCAAGGCCTCTTGATGGTGCATGGAAATGCAGCCACCTCTTGGGTGAAGCGTGCCAGCTGTTTGCAGCCCAGCTGTCTCAGAGAGGGCTTGCTCTAGTCCCAGCTGCAAAGGGTCTGTTCAGAGAAGGCTGCTGCCCAGGCTGGAGGTGGTCCAGGGCAGCTGGGCGAATGCTCGCGATGCCTGTACAAAGAGGTATCTGGAGCACGGATCCGCCTGGGTGCGCCTGGTGCCGTACCGGGGTGCCAGCTCCAGAGGGACTCGAGGAAAGACAGCTAGCTGCCTCCTGACTCAAGCACCGCATCGTTCAGAGCTTGTCTTCTGCTGCCAGCGCTGACCCAGCCCAGCTTTGACATGGGACAAGGCTGCAGGATGAGGCAGCCAGTCCTGCCCCGCGGGCCAGCCCGGTGCCAGGGCCCGCGCGGGGCCGTGTTCATGTCCTACTGAGCGTTGCTGCCAAGCTTTGTGCCTGCTACTGCGTCTCCAGGAGTCACCAGCTCCTATTATTTCCCTGTCCCCGTGTAAAAACCCAGCTGCTCGGTCGTTCTCCGAGTGGCCGCAGTTCTCGTACTAAAACCGCAGATGAAAACATGAGGCCAAATTCCCTTTGGGTGCGTGTGACAGCAAACAAACGAGCGAGGAAGGATTCTTTGAGAGGGCAAGGTAGCATAAAAGGCATTTATTCCTCTCTCATGCTTCATAACGGGGGAAGTCAGGCTTCCCCGCTCGACGTTTGCAGGCCACGGCTCTCTCCTAGCAGCGCTGTCAGCTCTCTGGTCCTATTTTGCAAAGGAAACGTGTTAATATTGCTCCTGCCCTGCCTTGTTGTGCCCTGAAAGGCTCACAGCGGCTTTCAGAAATCACAGGCAGCAACACTGGAGAACCCAAATGAACCGATGCCTGTTTTTAACCCAGGTAGCAAGGACGGTGGCCGGCGCGATACGTGAGCAGCCGCGAAGCTGTTCAGCCAGCCACAGAACAACAGCGGCACGGGGTGAAAACCAACCGGAGGACAGTCAAAGCCATTCCCTCACCAAACGGTGAATTTAAATTACATTGGGAATCCATAAAGGATGCCAAGTGTGAATGCAACACATCTGATTCAATTGGCGCTTGTGCTGGGAGACAATATATGATTAGAGAAGAGATAAATCGTGCTAATAAGACTAGCGTATCCCCTCGCAGAAGAGCTGCGTTCTCCGGTACAACAGAAAGCTGAATAATGCAAAGCAAAACAACGTCCCCGGAGCCTCGAGCGGCGGGGTCAGCGCCCAGGCAGGACGTGAGCACCCTGGCAGACCCCCAGCAGCCCCGGGCCTGCTCCGAAGCCTGTTTCACCGTCTCAAAAGACGCCGGCTGCCTTCGCAGGCACCAGGGGCCGGGCAGGAAGGAGAGTGTCCAGTGCATGCGACTGGGGCCACGTCTGCCCTCCGCAACAGGCACCAGGTTATCAGGTTCCCACGCCTTTCTTTTGCTCTTTCCTGTTTGTTAACTGAGAACAATCACAATTCCTCCTCCCGCAGCACTGTCATGGATGGATGGAGAGATGCAAGCTGCCGGCAGAGAGGTGAAACATCCTTTTCCTATGTGGCTGCAGGTGCCTGGAGTCTGGTGATGGGATCTGGGAGAAGCTTTGGCCCCAGCAATCGGGGCACTTTAATTCCTCCATTCAGTATTCGGACCGTGCTACCCTCTGTCCCAGCCATGTCCCTGGACAGTGCAATCCAGGCTTTAAGCATCCATACCATCGTGAGCACCTTGGTGCAGGTGAGAGCGCTTCAAAAGGTCCCTGGCTCTGATGCACCAGAGCCAGTAGCAAGAAAAAACCCTGGGAATTTGATCGATTGATGTGCGAAACGTGCCACGGAGCCCACGTGTGCTCAACGGGCGCCCGGCCCCACGGCAGCCGTGTGCTCATTGCTGCTCTTCTCCTCCCCGCCTACTTCTGCCGAAGCCCTCTCAGCACTGGAATTGGCTGCAAAAAATAAATAAATGCATAAAAGAAGAATATGAATGCGAATTAGAAGGCAAATGCAAATTTACAGTGTGCATTTCATGGCAGTAGAGTGAGTGACATTACTTCTCCCTCCCGCCCTCCCCCCTGACTTTTAATACAGCAGCTTTATTAAGTTTATCACAGCTTTTCATTAGGATAATGGGCATTATCGCTGATTGACTAGTGAGGAGCTACAGTCGCTCATCTGAGGAGATTAACCTTGCAGATGGATAATTTTGCCTTTGTTGAAAAGACGGCATTTCCGCTCGTGTACCCTCCTCTCACCCAGCACAGCGTCTATTTGTGTTGCAAGCTAATGCTGGCTTTCGGGCGGCTGGATGGAGTCGTTACAGGGCTGACGCGTGCAGAAGGCACTTGACAGCCCATTTCATCTTCTGTCACCGCTGGTAGCTGGCAAGTCCCTGGTTCAGGTGCCTCCTCCGAGACAGGCAACCCGGGGAGCGCAGCACAGGCCTGGGGCTCGCCCCGCCGCTCCGGGGGTAGCAGGGAAATTCCCCGAGGCCAGGCTGGGAGAAAGCCCAGCTCTCGCGGCTCTGGAAGTAAGGACAGGGAGCTTCTGGCTGGCCTCCCCCGGGCAAGTGCATTGCGGTGACCTGACCTGACCTGACCTGACCTGCCTCACTCAGCAGGACCCAAGCCCGATGGAAAGGCGCCCATTGGCTTCCATGTGCATGGACTCAGGCCCTTGTTCCCAGTTTCAGCCTCTTGTTTCCATGGGTTGGACAGGACCAGAACATCCCAATGACCTCTTCTCACCTTCAGACCTGGAGTTTGGGAGCTCGGGGCTTGCCCTGCCATGGGAAGGCATCGCCCCGTAGCATGTCTGCAGCAGTGGCTGCAACATCCCCTTTCCTCGCTCTCGGCTACTGCCAGGGTTACACGTGGCCGAGGGCTGGGACCGCGCAGCTCCCAGCAAATCCTGGCTTGCAGGCGAAGCCGCTCCGCGGGGCTGGCGCTGCCGGACAGCCGCTCACCCGTTTATCACCGGTGCCGTGACGCTTCCTGCAGATCTGTTGTGGCTGGTGCTAGGATCCCCTCCCTCAGGCCTTTGCAGAGCCTGGATATAAAATATATATTAGCAACTGCTTTAGGCAGTTAAATGAATCCAGGCCTGTTGGGAGAAATAACAATGTATTAACACTGCCTCTGAAAAATTAAAGGAATACTCAAGCAAATTCCTTTTTATTGACTTTTAGTGAGCCATTTAATCCAAACATCTCATTATCTGCAATATAAATATACTATATAATGGGTTTTGCAATAGGAACAATTAGCTTGGCAATTAGCACGAGCACGGGTGCTCGGTGACTGCACGCAGAAGGCAATAGGCCTATTAAAAATGTGTCCTGTAGAGGAAAAAAAATAATAGCATTTCAGATGAGTAGATTGAAACGGTTTGACTTTAAGCACCGGTAATATGTCTTCTATTGATCCCCCTTCCCAGATGAGCTAAGGCGGGGTCCTGGCTTTCCCTGATGAACTTGTTCCTTCTCTCCCATCGAGAGGGCATTGATTAACTTGATTTGTGAGGCAGGGCATGGCGCCCTGCAGTAATTAGCTCAGTCCATCAGTCCCCTCGCAGCGTGGTGAAAGCAGAGCCGAGCCCAGAGGCAGCTCGGGGGCTCCGATGGCAGCGACGCACTCATCTGCCCGGGCACTGTCAGAAAGGCAGGACACCCTGGCGCGGAGCTGGCCTGGCCGCTGGCGAAGCATTTCACCCATTACAGCGGAAACATGAAAGCGTAACCAGGAAACCTCTTATTCGTGTGGCCAAATGTAATAATTCTACCACTAAAGTCAGGCGTATAAATTAAACATGTGCTGCAATAGACTTGATTTTGTTCCTTGCATATTTTAAAAGGTTTGTTATTGCTAATAGCTGGGTGTTTTTTTTATCATTTTCTGACTTGAGGCTCAGGAACAACGCCAGCTCTCCAGCCCTCCGACTAGGTCTGGGGGCTCCCCTCTCCCGGCTCTCACTGGGGACCGCGTTATGACCTTGTGCGTCTCCAAACGGCTGTGCCAAAAGCAAAGGCTCCATGGCGGGCATCCTCCGTGATTAGTAATCTGGGATTCTGCTGAAGTATACAGCAAAATTATTTTCCTTCATCCCCTTAATGATCACCTGCCTCTGCTTGGATTTTTAGTAGCTTAGAAAACTGAAGACAACAAGAGTTGACACCTCCAGCTATTGAATAAATAATAACCATCAAAAAAGTCAGCATTTAGGTTTTATTTACATCCCCAAGCCAACAGCAATAACTTAGGCTTTATGATGGACCATTATCATCTCTCATTGCGTTCAGCCTGCCAAACAATGTGCTCCATGAAAACTGATATCACCTGCTTCTTATCTGCAACGCAGCCTTGCAGTGGTTCCTTATTGATTTTCTGCACAATCACAATAAAAAGGTGTTAGGTCTCCCCCGCCCCGGTACCATTTTGTGATTCTGGAGGGTTTGTTTCCGCTCGTCTGTCATTTCTCACCCACGCGAATCATTCTGGGTTATTTTGCAGCATAAAAAAAAATAAAAACTCTATTGATTTGCAGAACCCACGTTAATAAGTGAAAAGCTGGAGGGAAGAGGAAGAGGGCAGCGCTGTCACCGTTGCCAAGTGTTTGAGCTGCTGGATTCCACGTAATGGGAGGTCAAAAGTCATGACGACACATGCCGAGGAGAACGGATGGAGCCTGTCGGGCCTGGCCACGCAGCACCTCCACGGTCGGCTCCATCAGGGGTGGCACCTGGCTGGCGAACAGGGGTCTGTTTCTAGCAGCTGCATTTCTCTTTTATTGCCATTCGGAAAAAATCTGCAAATGCTCGTTGCTTCCCCACAGCGATGGCCGGGTAGACCAAAATGTCCTGTTGGAGAGAGTCCAGTGGAGGGGAACGAAAATGGTTGTGGGGCTGGAGGACGTGACTGGTGAGGGAAGGCTGAGGGACCTGGGCTGATTGAGTCTGCAGAAGGGAAGACCGAGGGGGATTGAACAGCAGCCTTCACCTCCCTGCAGGGGGGCTGCAAAGGGGACAGAGCTGGGCTGTTCTCAGTGGGGGCAGACGACAGGACAAGGAGCAATGGGCTCAAGCTGCAGCAAGGGAAGTTGAGGTTGGATATTGGGAAAAACTTTTAGCAAAGCACTGGACCAGGTTACCCAGAGCAGTGGTGCAGTCTCTGTCCTTGGAGGTTTTGAAGACCCGGGTGGACAAAGCCTTGGCTGGGATGCTGTAGTTGGGGCTGGCCCTGCTTGGGGCAGGCGGTTGGACTAGATGGGACCCCCTGAGCTCCCTCCCACCCGCATTGTCTCTGACTTTATGACACCCCCATTGCCACATCCCCTCACTCAAAAACATTAACCTGGTCTGACCTCGATGCTTGCCTGGCTCCCGGGTCCCTGGCACCCAAGCACCCTGTGAATTAACACCTTCCTTGTTGCATCGCTCCCCTGAGGTGGGATGTGTTCTCCCAGCGCGAAAGCACAGGCGCTGGCATGCTGTGAAACACCCTGGACCACATCCAGCAAAGCCGAAAAATGTCAGCGTGGAGCTAGCTCCTTAGCCAAGCACCACCGCGCCGGCGCTGGCCGCGTTGCCCAGCGTTGCATTCGGGTTAACAAGGCAGGCCGTGGGATGTCGCTCTCTGAAAGGGAGGAGTGAGGGGCTGTAATTCTCCTGTTAAATGGCAATTAATAGCTTCGCGCTTCTCCTAAGCTGAAATACTGGAGTAGAGATGTGTCTCAGCATTTTTACTGCCTGGATAATTAAAAACGAAGCTTTCCAGGTGGCAGCATAAATAATCCAGTCCTGGCCATCCATGTCGAGTTAAGGAACATCTCGGGATTTAACAGCCTGGGCCAAAACCCACTGAAGGAAACTATATGACTCGGGTTGACCCCAGGGGGTTTGGACCAGACGTTCGCTGTCTCCAAAGCAGAAAGCCCGGGTGGGCTGGAGTCGAAGCGGGCGAATGGAGCTGCTGGTTCGTGGAGGGCAGGGCTCCTGGCCTGCACCGCCGCGGCAGAAGACCACCCTACCGATGAGGAGGCAGCAGTGCTTTGGAGGGGGCAGCGTCTGTCTGGCCTTCGCCCCACCTGCTCACCACGAGTCTGGCGCCTTGGGGATGCATCTTTTCCGCTGGGACTCTCCAGCCCTCCTCGCCCCACCATCGCATCCTGCAGGAGCCCGGGCAGCCCGCTGCGATTCCCCGCGGCCGAGTCGGCGATCAGAAACGTGTGTCAGCTTTCCTGCCGCAACAAAGCGAGCGCGCCGGCTGCAAACCAGCTGTCAGACACGATGCAATTAGCTGCTGCTCCGCGGCCTGCTCCCTCTCGCAGAGGCATCGGCTGCGCGGCCTGCCTGCATCGCGGGAGGCCGAGTGGTGCGGATCGAAGCTGCGCCGGAGAAAGCAGCAGCGCTGGTGGGACGTGACGGGGGCATTCGCCCCAGCGCCTGGTCACGGCGGCTGCATTTCTGGCCCTCGGAAATGTCGCCTGGCACAGGGAGACGGGCTGAGCAGGGAAAGGTCCCCTTATTCGTGCTGCTGAGTTTGTAGCAGGTGCAGCCCTGGCTGGGGGGTCCGGGTCCAGGTCCGGCTCCTCTCCACGGTGCTCTCTCCTAGCCCTCCCGGTTGTCCTGGCCGTCTGTCCACCAGCCGACATCAGCCACTTGGATGGGTTTGTGGTGCAGGAGGAATCGGACTCGCCAGCTCCTACCCCGCAGCCAGTGCACGGCCACAGCGGCCAACTGGATCGCACTCACCTGGGCGCCGAGAGGCACGAGGCCATGTCTCCTACTGGCCTCGTTTAATTTAGCCATGCATCCAGGGAGAAAGGCAGGGAGTGTTTTGCATCCTGGGGCCACCTCCCCAGCTCCTGCCAACAGGCCCCAGCGCCACAGACTCCCGTTCACGCCGGCCGAGACTCTGCTCCCGCCCCAGCTCGCTGCTGAGCCTGAGACCGCGAGTGACGGGGATGTGACGTGTATCACAGCACAGCACCGGTGCGGATCCGGCCGTTCGTTATTGCCATGCGTGCCTCCGGACGGTGGGACTGCCGTCCCCGATAATGCAGGCGTTTTGCGACATGAGGCAGAGTGAGAGGCTGGCTCCTTGCCGGCGCGCTCTTCCCTTTATGACAAGCTCAATCTCTAGCAATAGTCGCTAGTCAGTCTGGTATAACAATGGAGAACACCTCCCTTTGATGAATGCCTGTTTGCCTTTAATTTGTTACAAGGCAATGAGACTAGAAGGAAATGTTCAGCTGCTGGCAAAGTGCTCTCTTAAGACGCATCCACATTTCTGAATTCTTCCCAAATCATTTTCCAGGGATTCTGCTCCGAGTTTTCAGCTCACGGGGATTTTTCCACCTGCCCCAGCTTGTGATATAGTGGGGTGAATACATTGCATTCCCACGCCACACCTGCCCCTCGGTGTGAGTTAGATGCTCTCAGATGTCACGTGCCGGATGTCATGATGATGATTATTTATAGCCACCTTCACAGCTCGGCGAGAGGAGTTTACTCCCAAATCCACGGGGCCGAGCTCTGCGCGGCACAAAGCAAACTGCCGAGGAAGTTCCCTGCTTGAAGGCCATGAACAACCCCGTCCTGGGTCAGCAAAGCCCGTGTTTAACTTTAACCGTGATCACGCCTGTCCTTGCTGTGCGTGTTTGCAATGGGACGGACGTGCTTTGCTGAGTCCGGCCTTGAAAGCAGTCGCTCCGGTTTCCCTCTGGTGATGGGGCTGCTCTTCAGTGCTCTCAAGACCCGGTTCAGCCTTCCCTGGGTTTCGTGGTTTCCGTGCATGCAACGGCAGCTCAGCTCCTGGCGTCCGGTCTTCCCACGTGCCCATCACTCAGTGCCAGGAGCCTGAAGACACCGATGCCCGCTTAGAGCCCCCCAGCAGCGTGCTTCAACCCCCTCGCCATAGCCCAGGAGAGCGCTGCTCTCAACAGAGACTATTTATTTGCAGTTCTGATGTGGCTGAGGCTTGAGATGAGAGAGCTGCAGGCCTGGAGATTACCGCAAGCTCCTCGGGCTTCTCCGCAGAGCTATCACGCATGACAAAGCCGTGATCCAGGCAGGCGAGCGGGAAGACGGGGCGCCAGGGGCTCTGCCACGCTGCATGCCTTCCACCCGCTGCAGCCACGTCACGTCCGTCCCGCGCGGCGGGGAGTGCAGAGGAGTCACTGCTGCACTGATCGCCAGGTGTCCTCGCAGCCGGGAAGGTTTTCAGAGGTGCAGCCCGGGGCTGCCGGATGCACTGGAGGCCAGTGTTCAATCTTGCATCAGCCAAAGCCTTTTTCTCCAGCTTGAAAGGAAAACCACGCGCGCACACCAGCCCCTCCCCAGCCCATCCTTCCCTGAACTGCTTGTCTCAAGTAGCCAGCAGACACATACACACTGACACGCGCGCGTGCCCCACACATCTCCGACACTGCCTGATGCTCCGCACATCCAGCGACGCCTGCGGCTCGCTAGATCCAGACTCGCTGTCCCCTCTAGCCCTGCCGGCAGCAGGTCTCGGAGTGGGTTCTCGGCTGGGCCCACGGGGCAGGGGGTCTGACAGGAGTACTCGTGCCGCCTCCGGCCTGCTCTGCACACACCCCCGTGCACCTGCCTGTGGGCTGGCGCGATGTCCTGCCACCCAAGGCCAATGTGCTCGACTCCAGCACAGACCTGCCTGGCCGGGCGAATCCCCACAAAGGCCCTTCCCAGCAGCGTGGGAGTACTGGGGTCTGTGCCACGGCAGGAACACGTGGTCGTGGGAATGGCTGGGAGCAGCATGAGCCGCCCCACCATGGGGAAACCCACCCTGACCCCTCTGCCTGCGATGTGCTGCATGCCCCGTGCCCTCCCCTGGCTGCAGAGCAAACCCCGCCTGGTCCATAGACTCGTGGCACCAATGTCCGCAGGAATGGGGAGCGAGACAACAGCTCCTTCGCTGCCTGCCGCCACTTGCACCGACGAGCACACACTGTGCAGTCGAGGCAGAGGCCTTGCCCGGAGTCCTGTCCAGCCCCCCGTGTCTCCCCAGCCACCACGACCGGGCACAGCGGATCCAGAGCAAGGCTCGAGGTCACGGCCTGGGGCGACAGTGACCCCCAGGGCTGCCCGACCACCCAGCCCTGCCCCAGAGCAGGCAGGGAGAAGCCACACTGCCGGGCTGTCTGCTCCACAGCCACCCCAGGCGGCTGTCCTGGCTCCAGCTCCGGACACCGGCTTCCCGGGCCGGACAGGCGGCTCCTCGGCTCCTTCGCTGTCCCGTGCACAGTCCCCGCAAGGGAACAAGTGCAGCGTGGCCCAGAAAGAGCCCACTTCCACCCCCCACCCCCTCCGGCGCAACCTGCACAGAGGGAGCACCCTCCCCCCAGCACCATGGAGAACATCCCATTAATTATGCCATTTAATTAGACCCCGAATATTCATATTTCATTAACGACACCACTGCTCACGCCGTATTTAGCTCCCCGCGCTTTAATTGCGCGGCGTGCCTCAAATGGCAGGCAGCTCGCTCGTTTGCTTTCTCCTAATGAACAGCCACTTAGAATTTTAAAAAGTGGAGGATATCTCTCTGAGTTAATTACCTTGAAATTAGCTTAATCACAGCTCATTTAAACTTATCTAAACACCCGGGCTCGGGACTCCGGGAAAATTGGGTTCCAGCCTCCCTCGGTTCTTCGTCCAGGGAGCCGGCCCCGCGGACAGCGCGAACGCTCGCGGGCAGGGACTTGGCACCGCCGGCTTGTTATCCTGCGCGCACCAAGCGGTCTGGCCTGCGCCGGGCACGCGGCCTCGCCTTCCTGAGACCAGCTCGCTGCCCCGTGGGGCCCAGTGGCTGGAGCGCTGGGCTAGGCCAGCCCTGATTGCTGGGGGATGCTGGATGAGTCGCTTAAACCCTGCCCATGCCTCAGGTTTCCCATCTGTGGAATGGGGGTGATGATGCTGCCCCCTTTATAAAGTGAGTTGAGATGAGCTCGTGCACAGTGCTGTACAAGCCCGGCCAAGTCTTGTGAGATCTCAGCCTGGCTGCTGCAGTCCGGCTTCCCCCGTGCGAGTCTCCTCCCGTGCGGGGTCTTTCCCATCTCAGCCAGGACGTCCTCTGCTCCCGGGGTGCTCGGTCACCTGCAAGGCCCCGGCAGGCGCGGCTGCCTGCAGAAGACGGAGCAGGTGCGAAGGCGTAGAGGGAGCTCCCTCTATGCAGCAGAGGTTTCTGGGCACGACTGGGGCCGGGGAGACGGCTGCTGCCCAGCAGTGCGAAGTAGTGCAGTGGGTCACTCCGGCGGGGCGGAAAGCTCTGGGCTGGAAGGAAGCCGCAGGGGACAGGCCGGGCTTGGCACCAGGCAGCGCCTCCCCACAGCTCTGGCTGCCGCCGGGACCTCACTGCCTCGGGGAGGGATGCTCAGGCCCTGCCTGCGCACTAAACACCTCCTCCTGGCTGGGCAGGAGCCTCTGTCCATCCACCCCCGGCCTGGGGTTCAGCTCCGTTTGGGGGCAAAGGCTGTAGCATGGCTCTGACACGGCTCTGCAAAGGGGCAGGTGCCCGCCCCGCCCCACCCCAATGCCTCTGCTTGCAGAATCAGGGCCGCTTCCACTGAGGCAGAGACACATCACAGGGACCCACATAGGGCAGGGGACCCTGGCACCGAGCTCCAGGCTGCAAGAGGAATCTGGGAAGCTCTGCAAGCTGCTCCCTACGGGGCTCCCTCATGCATCCCAGGGGCAGGAGCAAGGCCCCAGGGGCTCCCAGGTCCTGCCGCGTGGGGTTCCCTTGCAAGAGGAGCAGGCAGCGCATGCACCCAGCCCAGCCCTGCTGCATCCTGCAGCTGCTGCCCAGCCAGCATGGAGCCACCTCAGCCCTGCCCTGCTCCCCCTGCATCCTTGGGCCCTGGCACTACGGTTGTCACCCCTGGGCTCTCCGCTCTGTGCTGCACCTACGGTCTCTTGAGCATCCGCTGACTCCAATGAGCTTGTGTCCGGCCCTGAAGGGATTCAGCCTGTTCCTGGGCTCCGTGAGCTCAGCTCTCCCAGCACCCAGCAGGGAGACAGGCGGCTCCAACACCCTTTGCTGTGCCCTGAAGTGCTCGGGCTGTCGGGTGGGTCTTTACTCAGTTATAGGAGTGGATGGAAAGGGCTGTTGTTTAGATCTCCGAAGCAAGGGCAGCAAGGATAAGCGTGCAGCAAATGGCTTCCTCCCCCTTCTCACTACGAGCTCTCATGGCTGTGATTTACACACACAGAAGAGCCCGATGGAGCCAGGTCTGGCTGCGGGACTGAAGCCCTCGGTGCCAGCAAGTGTGATGAGGACACAACGGGGTGTTTCTGCCACAGCCAGGGCACCGGGCATGGGTGCCGGAGCCTCCTGTCTCCTCCAAACAAGACGAAATTGCAATAGGCTGCCATGAGATTGGAAATGGAAAGGGCAAAACTGACGGTTGCGGGGGAATGGGTTCCCTTGCAATCAGTCTCAAAGGCTGTCGGGGTAGACGCGAAACCCCCGAGCTGACAAATTGAAAAATGATGCCTGAGTTCTTCCCTGGAAGCAGCCACTGCTCCTGGGCGCGTGTCCCGAGCGAGGGTCACGGACACGCGGGCTCAGTCATTATTTAGCCATTGCTCCGAGGGTGCCGGGAGGGGGAGAGAGCCCCGCTGTCCCAGCCCCTGGACCTCTCAGGGCATTTCTGTGTCCTTGGTTGCTTTTGCTGAAGTCACGACTGGCTGCACGTTGCAGTGCTCTCCAGCACGGCCCTGCCGTTCGGGTGAGATTGGCAATGAC